AACGGTGCAATGGTCACAAACGGTACTTCTACCCTACTTGTGGTGTTATCATTCTATTTTTCCGCTATAATTTTTTCAAAATTTTAAGTCTCTCTATGAACAAAGTTTCTTTTGGACAGCTTTCAATATTTAAATTTTACAGTTTAATTATTTTAAATTTCATTACAATGTAATAATGATTTTTATTGAAGATAGATATATCTCTGAAAGGTTTTAGATTTGTTTATATATTTAGGCATGACGATCGTAAAATTGACTCAAGTTATTCCATTACAAATTTATTTAATCTCTCGGATACCTATAAAGAAGAATCGTCATTTATATTTTTGAACTCATTCATATTTTTATCAATCAAAATTTTGATTAAGTAACAGTTTGATATGAAAAAAAAGAACTAATTTTAATTGTAATAAAATTAGTTGAGCTTTAAATGATAATAGCTGATAAAGAGCATATAAAATAACTAATCATTAAATTAACCATAAAATTACATCCGTAGCTGAAAGGCTGCCTAAATTAAACCCTCGAGTAATTTTCACGTCCTCGGTTAAATTAACTCTAGAAGGTACTTTTTGAGTTGTTGTTTGTTTAGTAAAAAACTGTGTGATTATACCCGTTAATAAATCATAAATATACAAAAAATAAATTTACAATCCGGTAAAATGTGTGGTATAACACATTTTAATTACCGCAATTTAAATTCAATAATTTTGGCGCGCCGCGGGTACTCTGGTTGGGCGGGGAATCCGCGCAGCTGTTCTACGAATTAGCATACTAAACTTTATCACCAACAGCTCGACAAAGACGTGCCAAGACAGGCTGAACTAATTCCAAAGATAGAAGAATAAAGTTTGAAATACGCGCGCGCACTTTATATACACATATTCTATATTTATATATATATATTCATTAAATACATCCATCTACGTATATTCATACATTCATAACACATACAACACCACACAAAGACGGGTAAAATTAACGATGATGAACTAACAAACAAAAGAGGATTCACATCCGTGATAAGACCTCGACAGCAATAACTCCGTCAGATTAATGTCATCATTGTTATTATTATTATTATTATTATTATTATTATTATTATTATTATTATTATTATTATTAATATTTGCCATTTAACTTTTCTTCTTCAGAATTAATTTACTACCGAACATTAATGTATTACAATCTAATTGATTTTTGTCTGATGTATGATTATTCAATTACACTAAAATGTAATTCCAATCTCTACAATGAAAATTTAAAGTGAAATAAAAGATGAATAATTTATAAATTCATCTTGAGTTGAAATTAAACGATACGAAATAATTTGATAAATTTTCAAACGAAACATAAGTTTGTTATTAATGACAACTGTAATTATTAAATGTCGGGAATTTAAACTTTAACCACTGATAGTTATAATTATAGGTGACTGTCATTATTGATTAAAATATTTTATACTGATGGATTGATAGACTTATGATATCATTTTCTTTCATCTTATGAAATAACCGGTTGAGATTTGTGTATATATATAATTGGAATGAATATTGAGAAGTTGGTAGTGAAGTTGTAAGTAAACTTGGTCTGCCCGAGGCAATATCAGTGGTTGAGAGCAGAGACGTGTTACCGGTAACTATATATACAGTATACAGCTACGTCTCTACCTCATTCTCTTTATCTCAGTACTCTCTGCTCTTTACTCTTCTACACCTTGATGCAACATCTTTTGCTGCACTTAGTAAACCGACAAATTTTTTATTTTTTTTATATTTTCAACGTAAATTCATTGAAATTCTGTTTAGAAGTCGCATGAAAGAGGCGCGATTAAGTACTCGAAGTACTTCAAAGCTTTAATAAATAACGAAACATTTTTTTTAAATAGTTGAAAATTAATTTATACAGTAATTTTTATTTTAAAAATATCATAATTTTTCTAACGTCGATCACAAATATTTTCTTGTTAAAAACAATCTCTGTTTTGTTCAATAAATATATTTGTTCACGTCTATTAAAATCAATGAAAATTGATTGAAATTTTTTATATTTGCCATTTTTTCATTATTGGTTTTATTCATAGAATAAACAAAATGTTTTTGTTTTTGTTAAAAACAATCACGGATTTTTTAAAATAACATTTACAAAAACTAAAATCCATGAAAATCAACAATTCATTTTTCTATGAATATGTGTACATAAATTTCATATCAATACCGAGTCAGAATATGAAGGAAGATCAGACGCTATATAAACGTTCCCAAATATTTTTGGTGGCAGCTCACCTGGGAGCCTCAATCGGATTCACCGACCAAGTTAATAGGACTCTTATACTTGAAAAAGTCGCAAGTCGAATTTTCAGCTAAAAATAGTAGTTGTATTTATCAAGATTATTTAACAAGAATCTTCAACCAAGAACATTTTTTGAAGAGTTTGATTATTTTGAATCAAGTAAAAAAATTCTTAAATCAAGTAAAATTCATTTGAATCGAGAATAATTTCTTAAACTCAGAATTTTTCCACTTGATTCAACATTTTTTCTCTTTAATCAAATTAATTATTTTATCAGTGTACGTTAAAAATGTTCAAGTTACGTTTTGAACATCTAATTCATTCAACTTTTAACACAAAAGTTGTGTAATAAAATATTCCATTAAAATGGCTAATTAATTAACAGGTTATTATTCAATATTAACATTAATTGATTGTGGAATAATGTTTGGGTATTGTTGGTGAGTGCTTTTGTATTCGGACATTTATGAAGGGGTTGAATATAATAATAAATAAAAATAGTTGAGAGATAGAGTAGGCACAGATGAGGGTGAGAGTAAATCGATGCTCGTTTTCATGAGCTTGTATAACTCTTGGAAAATTCAAAGCGTCCACGTGTATTCACTGTTATTCACCCCGACCCTTTACCCTTCTTCTCGTTCTATATATACACACACTGACATATATATAAAACTATAGATATATATTGGAACCGTCGGGCACGTCACGCTTTAACTTGTTGCTCGATCCTTCATCTCACGCCAGCTAAACAAACACCAAGTGACATATTCAAAAGCTCATGAACAAAATGCAGAAAACCACAGTTTAACGGGTTTGTTTCCAACGTACTTGCGTTGATGATAGAAACCACTAAAGTGTCAACCTATTTCTCTCTCTCTCTCTCTCTCTATACATATAAATATAGGCATCATATGTATGCATATATTTATTTGCTTGTCGCTCTGGAGCCAACTGGATGAGTAATTAGGAACTCGTGCGGAGATTCTTGTGTAATTTTGTGACCCCAAAGGAAATTAGCCAAAGTGTTTCAGACTTTGATTGTATTTACCTTATTCACCCATTCATTTACGCTTTAGTATTATTTTTATAATTAAATAGGAGTTAAATAAAATCATTATTTAATGCAAATTACAATTTTTGGACGAAGGTCACACCGATTAAAATTATTATTCATAATAATTTTTTATTTACTTATAATACATCAGCTGAATAAACGATCAATTAGTTTTCTAGTGTCTAATATATTTTACATTCGATGTAGAGCAACACGATGTAACCGTTTCAACAAGTCGGTATACCGAAAAAAAAGTTTAAGTCCTATTGGTATACTCTTTTTTAATGAATTGGTATTGCGAATATGATGTAAAAGAGTTTAAGTATAATCGCAATACTCGGTTTAAGTGAGTGACTTATATTTTCCGTACGATACTATTGCAAGTCTAGAGAGTATAGTAAAAAAAGTTCCCGTGTAAAAATAAAAACATTGTCAATCGAGATTAACCTAAATTACAATAATTGTAACATTAGTGTTTTAACTATTATTTTTTAATAAATAAAATTAAAAAAATTAAATAAATTACCAAAAAATAAAAAAAATATTAACATATGTGAGTCCCCAGGAACAACTTAGATATTGTTAATTTTTTTTAATTTTAATAAGCAAACATCTGACAGCTTTTATGAGTTTTTCATAAGTACAAAATTACTATAAAATCAAATAAATATTTGAAAAAGGTAAAAAATTTCGAAAAAGGTTTAAAAAAAATTTTGGTTTAATATAAGTAATTTTTTTAATTGGATCTAAACGTTGTGAGACATTTGTTAATTTTAGAGTCATTTCTATATTTTCTTTGGGAGGAATTCTGTTGATAATAAGTATTCGTTAAAATTCATATTTAGATGAAGAAATTGATAAGGCAGCTTTTGCTAATTTAACAGAAGAGGTAATAAAAAGAATTATTCCAAAAGCTGGCTCTCAAATCAAGTTCTGGTCCAAATGGAAGGTGGAATTTAGTGATACTTTTGTCCTTCAACCCGTAGGAATACCTAACATTAGTTATTTGTTTCAGTATTGTTGATTTCTATTCAATTTAATTAATTATTCCGATCAATTATTTATAATTGTACGATCTAACCATTACTAAAATTATTATTTGGACATTAAAAACTACCCTGATTTAAAAAAAGTATTGAACCATGCAACTGTATATCTATATTGTATGTATATATAGATATACAGTGTGTGAAAAGTATTGAAAAAGTATTGAATTACATACTTTTTTAATACTTTTCAATACTTTTTTTTAATCAGGGTAATTATATGAATATCAATATACCTTATCATATATACTAAGTTAATATTCTGGGACTTAAATTATAATTATTATTAACTATTTATTAATTTTTAAACAAATTTAATTTCTAAATTAATGAGTTGATCGTAATGTCTTTAACCTACAGCAATATTTATTTGAGTGTATTGTGGTTATGAGTATTGCGCAGGCGCTCTCGGTTTAAGTGTATGACTTAAACAAGTTTCAGTGTAGCGCTTAAAAAATATTGCGTTGAGACTTAAATATTGTTTAAGGTAGTTGTAGCGTGAAAGGCATTTCAACAGAAAGTTATGAAATTTTTTTTATCGAAAGATAAATATATTAATAATTCACTACCAAAATTTCAGATCAATTGACCGCACCGTTTTTGAGTAATTAATTTTCGAAATCGCATCTTTTACACGTAGAGGTATAGAGAGATGGTAAAGTTAGTATGAAATCTTTGGCCCACTCGAGTGGTACGGAAGATTTCATATCTATTGTTGGATGTTTAGTATAGACCGGATAGCTCCGATAGGGACCGGATAGGGACCGGATGTTTAGTATAGGAAATTTAGTATAGACCGGATAGCTCAAATGGTAGAGTAGCCGACATGTCTTCGGAAGGTTCTGGGTTCGAATCCCAGTCCGAGCTATCTAATAATTTTTTCTCACATATTCTATGCACTCACATTAAGAAGTTCCTCTCCATAATCCTTTCTCAATCCTTTCCTACCAATTATCCTGTTACGTGAATGTTGGAACGCTTCACGTAATAATTATCCGTAACTCCTATTCTTTCCCGCTTCACAGCATTATTTATATTTGTTAAAAAATATAGGAGTTACGGATAATTATTACGAG